ATTAGAAACAAGTATCAAACACACAGAATAGTGCAGAATTTTAAATTTGCTCAGCAGATGCGTATTTAAAATGTCTGCATATTTTATTTTCCTGTGGATTTGGAATGCTAATCGTAGGATTCTGTAACATGAAGTAAAGAGCATGAGCACAGAAGTACGTCACAAGCACATATGTTTCTGTACGATTTTATGTCATAGCAGAGAGGATGAGGGGAAATAGCGCCATCCTGAATCTGTCATTATATAATTTTAAATATTAATATTTAATTAGGGAATTTTGTTAAACTACATCACGTGCAATGTATGGATGTTTAAGTATCCATGTTGTTGGTGGTGTGTCAACAGCTGGAGTTCTTTTTTAATTTCTTCCCATTTCCACATACTGTCGCAAACATATCCAAACTCATCCCCTAACCTATGATATCCGAATGTACTATTACTAAATGTAAAGTAATCTTGTAATGTCTATATGATCACTGGATGGTGCGGCCATGATAACCACTTACAAACCATGAACCATCAATCAAATAGATGAATGAATGCTGCCGGCATGAGAAGACACTGAGCGTGCGCAATTACATTGCATAGCAACAAATAAATTTCTGGGTTAGACCTGAAAAGAATGAGTCTGAAAAACTGTATGTCTTTTATACATTTGTGATGCAAACTATAATAAGTTTACATGTCAAAGGTATAGCTATAACATAAATCTGTAAATGTGGATGTTGCTTCTAGAGAAAAAAGAAAAACAAGCAATAAACCACAGTCTACGATTTAATGATATGCGAGTGTTTAGACAACCAAAAGCATCACTATTTATAGAGATGAATAACTTCTGATTCATGCATTTGAATTGATCAGAACAACAACAACAAAATCAGCTCAGTAATGACTATAACTAATTGAATCTTTACTTATAACGATTAGTATAAATTGTTTAATTAGTTGGATACCATTGCTGTTAGTGATATTTTTGGCCATAACCCCAATACAATTGCACAAGGTTCATCCAGCTTAAGAAATTAAGGTTAGTCTTAACTTCATATACTAAGCAATCAATACAAAATAATGTTTGTAATAAAAATATGTTTATAAAAAATGTTAAGTAATAAAATTAGATGGATTACAAATTCTAACTAATGTTATTAATTAAAAGTTCATGGCTTACTCTAATAAAAAGTTATCATTATTAATAAAATAACTTTAAAAGAAAGAATACACTACAACTTACTTACAACATAATACTTTCCATTTACATGATATTTTATAGTGTTTCTTAATATGAGAAAAAAATGTTGGAAAACTTGATCCAGGAATGTACCACAATCAAGGAATAAATTACACTTTATGATTTTGTGTGTGTCTGGGAAAGACGACAGACAATTAAAGATGGTTCTTTATTTACAGTTAAGCATAAAATATAAATGCAGTTTTTTTGTTGTTGTCTCGACACATCTTCTAAAGAGTGAAATTGTGTTGTATACCTTTTTCATATTGAGAATTCCTCCTTTAGTTTTTGTACAACTGCTCATGGTGAGAACCACACACCAAGAGAACATCGCTATGTACAAGACAGCAACATATATTTTTATACATTTTTATTACGTTGTTTCTTAGGAAATATTATTTGTTTTAATCTTTGTTATTTTATTCACTTTGGCAAGCTGTTTTCAGTACCTGCACAGTTAAACTATCTTTTCTTCTGCCTCCTATCAAATATATGGTATGTTGTTGTTGTTTTTTTCCATAAAAATTCAAACAATTTTTTTTTAAATGTATCTCTAGATGTTGTTCAAGGCTCAGCCTGTTTACTCACAGTTCTCTGACAGTTTGTCATTAAGCACAATGGACGATGTGTGCTGAACTTTAGCATTATAAGCCTACAGGTTTAATGCTGAGCCACCAGAGTGAGATGAGGGGAAAGTTTCCTGACAGTCTTGCTTTAATGCTATCAAGTGTTGAGTAATGGTGTAGCTCAGTAAGCTAATTAGAGTTAGTCAAATGGTTAAATGACAAACTGTAGTTGTTAAAGTAGGTCTTTCGCTTTGTTTTTCACATTTATATATGTTGTTGCCCGGGCTATACTAGTTATTTTCATACTCAGTCAGATAAGCCTTTTCTGGGCAAGTGTTAGATTACCAAATACTCTAAGGCATTTGAGGATGGTTAACCCCATTACACACATAGCCTGCTCATTTTCTTTTGTTCAGCACTAAGAAAAATTGTTTACTTGAAACTATTCAAGTTAGTATTATAGTGGCTTCTTTATCTTCTGTTACCCTGGTCTTTCCATTTTGTTCACTCAGGCTTATCAACCATCGATTAAACAATCAAAAGTTAAAAATAATGAACTAATAAATTCTAATTCTTTGATCAATCATTAACTATAAATCATTAATCATGAATCATCACTCAGAAGGCAAAAGGTGACTTGATCCTTCTGATATCCAGTCCAGTCTTTTGTGCCATCATTGAAAATAACCATCATTCAGAAACAACAGACGTACCTCCTAATCACTGCTATCCTAACTAACGAGTAATACATGTTCAATCCACAAGACTAGGCCTAACTGATGTCAGTTTCATTTCCATCCCGGCTAAGGGGGGGGGGCTGCTGCTGCTGTGTTTAGCTAGTGGTAGTCTTTCAGTATTATCATTGATGGAAGAGGCAAAAAATGGGAATCACAATCATATACATCAAATAAAAAATAGAAGTAGTATGGAAGATTTTAGTAAACCATTTCATATCGTAAATACAGTCAGATTGACAAACAGATTCATCATTAACTGCATGTGTGCAGATATGCAATAACTTAGAAGTTTTTGTTTTACTTAATGAAATGTGGTGCTATGGTGAATTGAATTATTTTTCTCAGCCAACTGAATATCTAATGTACGACTTTTTAAATTGTTTAAAATTTCTAATTACATGTAGTCAAAGCATTCAAGTAAAATACAGACTATTTAAATGTTTAAAAAATAATGTATTTCCTTCATCATGAAAATTATCAATTCTGGTAAAAAAAAAGTGGAGCAAGAGGCTCAGTTTATTGTTGGATTTGCTAAATGTCACTAGTTTTTATGGAATTACACTTCCTTATCAGTAACCATGGACAAGAACAAAGCAAAGAATAAGACCATATTGATGGTGAGTACAAGGTAATTGAAACACACACACACACACACACATTAAAGTTACTTACAAATGTGCTAAACATATATCCTAGTTTTGCTAAAATGAAAGTTAAAACAATAAATGAGTGGAATGGTTAGTCTAACATTTACGTTTATATGTTTAAGGTATGCTTTAACTTCAAACAATGAATATGAAAGCAATAATGTGAGAATTGCACTATATTGTTACGTCTCTGTTCGTTTGTTAATTTCCCGTAGAAATTCTTCCCGAGAAACTTCAGCGATACAAGTCCTTTCTTAAATAAAACTAGTTTATTCTTTCTCAATACAACTTTGCAATACACTTAAATTCCACAGTCACTTTAACTTAAACATACGCTGTAATTCACAATGAACGATTCACGCACTTTACTTACTACCGCGCTTGACTCAATTGTCCGTCTCTGTCTGTCTGCAATTCAATTATTTATCGCTATATGCCGTCACTTCTCGCCAGTCTTATATATACGAAATAGAGGGCGTCTGGTAAACACTCGAGCCTTCATGAACGTTCTAGATACTCATTACGTGTTACCAGCGTCACGTGAATTCTGCTGTCGTAGCAATATTGAAAACTTTAAATTTTAAAATCGTGTGCTTTTTACATTCATTATATAATGACAGAGTTTCAGACTCAGATCAAAATAGCTTTAATGGATTAATATTATAAAGATATGTATGTAGAAGTTAAGAAAACAACAAACAGAAACACCTGCTCATTTAAATAAAAACCTGAACCCCTTTCTGGTGTAGGACAAGTAGTACACCAAACGTGTAAATCACATACAATATCATCTTCAGGTGTATGTATGTATATATAAAACATATATATTTGCCACCTTTATTGTACTTTCATGCCAGATATCATGTCCTTCGGAAAGGATTTATCACACTTTGAAGGGAGTATAATAAAATTTTTCAGAATTTTCGTGCAATAGTACACAAAGGGTTATTTGTGGATAGCTGTCCCTAATTTTGAACTGAGAGGCTAAATGGAAGGCAGCTAGTCAGCATCAGTCTACTCTGATGAAATAGTACAATTTGACTGCCATTCTTAGAACATATGCACAGCTCCAAAGCGCAGTGTATGTTTTTGCAGTAATGGTCATGAATTATGAATCCACAGATTCACAGACCAGGTACATTAACCACTAGGTCATGCCCAGCCTGTGAAATAATAATAGCAGCTCACTTGTAGCCCAGACTGTATAGTTCTCTAGGGTGATAACTTCACTTTCAAAGAAATGTATTGTGAATTGAAAGAAGAAAACAACAACTAAAATATGCTCAAAATTCATGGTGAGACACTAATAAATAGTGTTAAAGAAACATGTATAGTACAAGTTAAATCATCTAAAATACATTAGTAGAATGGCTATACACAAGGAATTCATTATTCCAAAAATTGCACATTTGTACACACAGTAGTACAATAGTTATAAATTACGTGCTCACATATAGTGATGAAAGATGATCTGGTTAAATTGATTAACATTTACCTTTTCCAGTCAAGTGGGGTACATGTTTGTGTGGAAAGAGCCCAAGGAAGTATTTGGCTTTGGGTGTATTTTATACCCTAAAAGCTGATTACCTTATTACTTACAGATTACGCATCAAAGCAGCATAAGTGTGTGTATTATATCCATTTATGACTATGTTTCAAAATTCTACTCAACAAATATATAGGCACAAAATGTTGAGACACTACACTCAATTTTTGAGTGAATATGTTGTTTAATGGTAAGTATTTACAACATTGTGTTTCTTAATTGTAATTTTTTTTTGTGACAGAGCTATGAAATTGTATATGAAAAGGATGAACTTACCTTCGTTTTCACACCACAAACTGTCACTAGAATTAACTGCCACACTGCTGGAATTCCAAAATATTCCACTTGTTGATAAGGTAGATTCAAAATTACAACCGTAGTTTTTCCTGTAAAATATATCTTTCTTTTATAACATAACCTAAAGAAATATACGGACATGAAAGTAATCTCAACATGCAAGATTTATGTGGTAAAATAACTGACATGAATACCTTTTAAATGAGGGCAGGTTTACCTTGAACTTAATACCAAATGGGTGGTAACAGAAAGATAAAACTTGCCAATGAAATTAGATCTTAACAGTTCAAGGAATTTGCTAATTGATTAATAAGTCTGAGTCATTAATCGATTACATTCAACTAATCAATTATTCTTACAAGAGATTGAACTTCCCACTATCGGCTTCTTTTGGTTTTTCTAAAGAAACTTTTAAACTACCCTTTCCTTAACCAGATAGACATCTTCAAATAAACAATTTAGGATTATGTTACTCTTTTTAATCCTAAACTGTTGTACATCAAAATATGTCATATATGCAACATAATACGAATCTTGTAACAAACTGAAAATACAACTAATACCATTTCATGCGTTTCTCCCTGCAAGTTTTCACAAGACTACTCTACTAAAACAATTGTCCTTAAATTTCATGCGACAAGTCTTTACTATTTTAGTCACATGAAATGTAAGGACAATTATTTTTCAAAGAAGAATTAGTCTGTATTATCTATCATACATAATTAACTGAAAACAAGTTCCTGTCTATCCTAGAAAAACAAAGATAGTACATTTACTATTTGGGAAGAAAACTCGTGATGATACTAAATCAACTCACTTAATTCTAGGTGTACTAGGAAGTTATTAAGTGATATATGGTGACAATCAGATTTTTGTTTTTACTATTTCAATGCTTTTTATCTAGCTAGATCTAGTTGTAATTAAACAAGAGTTATGTTCGTGTAAATAAGTTAATGATTTAACAGTATTACATAATGTCTTTGTCTATTAATTTATGAGAAACAGTCAAATGAGCAAGTTATTCAGCAATCAACATTTTTTTTGAGCAAATAAAGAATAACGAGTATTAATTTGTTGTAACATTTCTTATCAAGGCGGTCTTGCCCTAAGTAACACTGGTTATGTTTGTAGCTTGTAATAAGTAAGCAATAAATTATGTTAAAGCTACACTATTATGTAGCCATACAACACAAATAACAGGCATCAACTTGACTAATTACGTAACCAATGGCAATTAGGCCACACCCTCACAATCGTTGAGTTGTGTGCAAGCAGAACACATCCAAACCATCCCACGTAGTCACACCAATGGAAGTAAATACTTGGATAGTGGAATCATCTAAAATAGTAACAATCAGAGATACTAACTTCAATTAGTTGATTACATTTTGTGATCATGCTGAACAATCGACAATTAATCACACACACACCCCTGTGTACATGCATGGCAATGTTTTTGATTACTTGGATAATTTGAATAATCAAAAACAAGTTTCAATTAATCAATGCTGATACATAAAAAATTACATCATTTAATTGGTCAGTTCTATGCAAAATAATATGATTCCCTTAGATGTATGTGGGTGATAAAGAGATGCATATTCTTAATAATACATATATTCTAAAATTAGGACTCATTGCATTTAAAGCTCCACAAGAATCAGTAATACATGTATTTAATCAGTAAGCATCTAAAATATGTTGTACTTCTAAAAGCATCCTAATTAGTTTAGGTGCTTGATAGGGGACTTTATAACTGCACCCTAATTAAGAAAGTTATTTTCTCTTTGCTGGAGATAAATATATTGCAAAGCTATCAACACTTACCCATTGAGCAGTCACACACACCTGAGCCTATTTTAATGCTCATACACATTAGTAAAATATTCACATTTTGTTCAGTTTCTTATTGTTTAGAATTAGCAGCTTCCTATAATTCACTATGGTTGGTGGACCGGCTAGATCTGGGTCAAATTCAGCACCACATCGATAAAAGAAATTCACCAAATTGTACTATTTTGCTTCACCGAATAAAACGTTTTCTGGCGGGCATGTCTCTCTACAAAGCAGCTGCCTTTAGTGCTCGTAGCACTTTACAGGTTGCTAAAATTTTACTTTTTCAAAAGTCTTACTCAAACATATTCTTAAAAGTTGGAAGTCCTAATGGAATTTTGGAACATTTCAAAACTGGTTTTAGTAAGCAAGTCTGCTTGAAGAAAACCTTTTAAAAATTATGTAAAACTGCCGAGTAAGAAAAAAAATGTGTTAGAAACTTGTCAGTTTTTAAGCTTCCTTGGAGGTTAAAAACGGTATTTACTTAGGTAACAAGTACATTAAAATTTGACATTGCTTTATATGGTATTTTTATGATAATAATTCAAAGTGAGAGAATGAAAAACATTCTTATCTACAGTATATTCTTTTGATGGATACAGGTATTCATTTTTGTGCAATTCAACCATTCGATGGCAGACAATAAAATCTAATGAATTTAAGCTTTCTTATTATGTTTTAATGGTTTGTATAGTGAATACGGTATGTTCAGAACTAGTTCTATGAGAAGGCCAACTAATATTTTTCTACTAACCCTTGGGGGATGAAGGGGATTTCCATTTCAGAACCCTTTAAAATATTATATCTTCAGGCTAATTGTAAAATATGCATATCATTCAGAGTCAGATGAGGATATAAACAAAAGATGGTTGAATGGAAGCTCTCAGGATTGCTCTATGAATTATATTAAACTTACTTCTGTGTAGACATATTTTTCTGCTAGTGGATATACATATCAATTACACAAGTCCTTCTGTCCACTGTAGATCTTTGGCAGGGACTGTGGTGCTTGTGCCAGGAGTGACACGAGCTTATTTCTTTTAGCATGTAGTAGTGCCATGTCTGTTTTGAATAATAATTAAAAAAAAACAATAGCATTTCACAAGAAGCCTAAAATATTTACAATGTCTAATACTGTAGGTGTTTGTTACTGGAGCTGCAGCATACCTTCCATATAAAAGTTATACTAAAATTTCTGACTGGGACGAGTAAAATGTTTTTGGTGTTTAATAGTAAAAAAAGCCCACTGAATTAAGGTACAAATTAATTAGAAGTTGCTTTGATGAAGATTATTTCTGTCATATAATGGTGATGACTAAATAGGGGTAAAACACAAAAGAATTATATAGTGGAATTAATGAATGAATTCTTAAGTAAACTTTGTACATTCTTGAGGTTCCCAGTAATTTGGTGAGATTTACACCATCTAGCTGGAAGTTAACTAATCCACTAATTACAGTAAACCATATATAGTTTGTCCTTATCTGTTTTGTAATAAGGGATGATTAACTGCTAGACAAAAATAACATCATCAAAATCCGGTAAACTGTTTTAATTCATGATCACTACACTGACAACAGGCACATACAACTTACAACTCAGGGAAAATAAACACTTGTAACTCATTAAAACAAAAGAAGAATCAAATATACAATAATCCACTGAAGACAGAGTTTCTAATAACACTCATCTGGTTTGATCACTTCTATAAATGTCATGATGACACTGTAAATGACATTACAGTTGTTATTCAATTAACTGATGATATAAATAGTATCTCAACCACTGCTATGTTTGTCATATCCCAGCTGGCCTGATGAGGGAAAAGCCTTGCCAGCACTGGATATTGCATATATAGTGTTGTTGACATATTATTAAATTTTTCTTTGCTTTCAATAATAAGTTCTTTTTTTTCTTTGCTCACATACATATTTCTTCTATGAACTGATCCCTTTCCTAGTGATAAATTGTATACACTACATCACAACACTCGGAACTGAAACTATTCGCACTTACACCATACATTTTTATTACCTTGTCACTGGCCGAGTTTTCCAAGTTACAGGAACACTAGGGTGTTCAAAGGTTTGTTTGCAAGCCAGGAATTCAAAGACAGTTCTAAACATTCAAGGGTTTATCAGGTGGTATTTAAGCATGGTGAATGGTCAGATTTTTATTTTCTCTCTCTTGTTAACAGACAATGTTTTACAATATTTGATGTCAAATGTTACTCACGTGGTGAAATCGATCTTTTGATATCTATAATGCCAATTACTTAAACGTTGTATTAAAAACACACACACACACCAAAATGTTATACATAGCAGCTCTTTCCATGCATTTGAACAGAAGTTACATTTAACAGTTACATTGCTTCGATACAATGTACTGAATACCTAGTGTACAAGATGTAAGAGAAGTGTTACGATAGAATAAATATGGAGCATATGAATAATGTGCATTTTTTAATTACAGAAATATGATTACTGTTCTATATAACATATTTTTCCTATATGTGAATTTTCTATTTCCCTCATATCTATTACCTGTAGAATAAAAAGGTTTTGAATCAAATTAAACTAGTAGTTATAGTGAACTTAGTAAATTATGTGAATTAGTACTATCAAAAGTTAAAACCTTCATTTCATAACATCTTCTGAAACTCTGAAGGTAAAATATACCCTTAATTACCACCCTAGGGAACAACAACAGTGAGATCTCTTAAATTAATGAGCAAGGATTTGGTTTGTTTCATCAACATCTTTGAGACATCCGTGGAGATAGTTCAACAATACCTGCAGCTGTTCTTTTTGGCCTGCTGCATCTTTCCACTTTATGTGCAGGACCAGTTTGATTTCATCTGTGGAGTGTAGGGTAGTACTGTCTGCAATGGTACAAGATGTGGCCTAGTGGTAAATGTGCTGAGCTGCAAATTGAACTTTTGAGCCATTATATGCTGCTGAGCACATGTTATAGTTACAGCTGTGTGAGTGTTATAACTTGACAGTCAAACCCACTATTCAGCTAAGAGAAACCATGTAGGCAGCAAGTGCTACCAATTAGTTGTCCTTCCTCTGATCAGCAGTTCAAAATTAGTGATAGCTATGCCTAAACCTTGGGATTTTTGTTTGCAAACCCTAGCATAATGTTCAGCATTTCCATATTTCAAATACACTCAATCTTTGCAAGTATTTTTCTGGAGCACTACATACACCGTATCTTGCTGGAGAAATCCTAATAGCTTATTTAAGTATTCGTGTGACTCGAGGAATGCATCAACATAAGCTGTCTTCAATCCTTATAATTTCATTGCCACAGGTTCTAAGCTATCACCAACCTTGACAGATTCCAGCTTTATAGCACATTAAATAACTTTCTTCATAAGTTTCAAATATAAAGATTTTATTTCTAATTAAGAAATTTATATACTTAAAGGAACTGGAGGTATAACGTCTCGCAACGAATCATAATGTTTTATACAAGAACAAAGATAACTCAATGTCTAACTCTTGTGATGGCTTTTAATGCCACTCTTCTGTAACTAGTGAGCTTAGAAATTAATAAGATGGTTAAATTTTGGTTCCTACATACTTTGAAACAAGGTATATTTTTGATTCACCTGCATTTAAATAATTTTGAAACTAAGATTAAAACTAGCAAAAATGCTATCAATATTTCACATACCTTTAACTGCTTCAATGTCAAATTCAAATTATTCTTGAATTAGCAGAAAGTGCTTTGCAGATTAACCACCCCCATACACTGTATGATGTGTTTAATGAATTGTTAATTCAACATGCCTATTATGATGCATCAAAATAAGATTGCGTCAATTAAGTGCACATGATTCATGATTAGAGAACATAAAGAATGGTCTCAAGATGAAATCAATGAATCATAGTCAACTCTCCCATATACTTTTCTCATCAGATATGTAGAATTAGAAAAATGATTAGAATGAGCACTGGGGTGGATACGTACACTCAAGTCCATCCCATCATGTTGTCTCTGCCAGCAAGTGGTTCTATTTCAACTATGTCAATTTTGAAGTGAAAATAAAGCTCACTGTGCAAATTATTTATTACATTAAAATATGGCAAAGGATGCACCTCGTATTGTATCATCTTTGTCAAATAGTCTCAAGTTTTGTGTCACATGTAACACAAGCAAATTATGATCTGGAAAAGAACTTATGTAGATCACACATAAACATTTTGATTTTTTTTTGCAGGAATGTGCACAATGTGACATGTTCACTAAGTTTGTGATGGGGAAGATCCCCCCAGTGGAGCCACCCATTTGAGCTACCAGAATTTAGTATGTAAAATTTTAACATTCTCCCTACATTGTGACATGAAAGTGTTAATACTTTGAATTAGCAGGGTAGGCATACTATGCAACTTGAACTAAAAGAACTAACAGAGGGGGGTAATAGTAATCTGAAACAGCATCAGACTGCTGGAAAGCTATGCAAAGAGAGCCTGGGGTAATTTTGGCTTTTTTGATAATTAAAAAAAAATTAATAATACACACTTCTTAAAGGCAAAAAAGACCATTTCTTCCGTATTTAATAACACTTGACCCCCTTAAGCCCCTCCCCACAGTAAAACAATCCTAGAAATACCATTGAATGTGCATATTAATAACTAATAGCGACATCCTGCCTGTGACAGTTTGGGTGAGTTACTTTCACTGGAATTAGTACATCTCCAGGTGATAATGATAATTAGACTTTACTTGCTTTATAATGCTAACTTGTTTATCAGACTTAATGTTTCATATTTTTACACTGCTAATTCTTACTGTAAGTATCTTCTTTTAAGTGGAGGTCTACTGGGTGTACATTTGAACCATTTAAAAAGGGAGGGCACTGTGTTTGCTTTCAATTTTCTCAGTCCAGTGAGAGTTTTGATTATGTCATCTTCTTTAAAATGTGCTGAACAAACTCTTGTGTTGTCTGTGATCTGAAAACAAAACAAACTCATGTTACGTTAGGTCGAAAGAAACGAATACTTTTTACTTACAAGTTTTAATTTTAAAATATTAAGTTGAAGCAACAATATTACATGGAAATCGATAAATAAAATCAATAAGTAGCGAAATATACAACTGATATTTTAATTGTGAATTCACTTTTGTGTCAGTTAAGGCATCTACACCTGGTATTCTCGGTAAATATCAAAATAGCAGTTGTGCTAATTTTACCTCAGAGTAACTCTCATCTTGCCTTTTTCTTTTTTGATGCTACAATCCAAAAATAAATCGTTTCTATCAAGAACTTTTTCATTTGCTTTAGTCAGTTTGAAAATTAATAGTCTACAAACATTTTATAACTAAATTTGTATTACTGTTAGGGTTCATACACGAATGAAGACGAAAAACAGTGCATCTTGTTAATCATATTCACATATAAGGAAAAATTATAAGAACTCACTTGAAAATATTCTCCGACATCTCGCCCAATGTTGCATATCCATTGTTTCCTGAGTGTTTTGTCTTTGGGAAATCGATGGAACGATAATCTTCCCTTTTTGTCGTATCGCGAATCATTTGTACAATGAGGAACACAGCAGTGTAGTGATGACATAATTTCACTCGAGCAAGGACTTTGGAGGTTTTCCGAGCATGCCCACCAAGCCTCGTTTTCGTTTAGAGTTACGCACAGTGCAACTAGTCCATTGTACACGCGTTACACGGTGGAAACTATTTGTTTTGTTTTTAATTTCGCGCAAAGCTACACGAGGGCTATCTGCGCTAGCCGTCCCTAATTTAGCAGTGTAAGACAAGAGTAAAGGCAGCTAGTCATCACCACCCACCGCCAACTGTTGGGCTACTCTTTTACCAACGAATAGTAGGATTGACCGTAACATTATAACACCCCC